TTCCCCCTCCAGGTCACACTGGGAGCCCAGCCTGGGGCTCCAAGGTGGGACGAGCGAGCCAGGTGGCGGCTTCTCCCCAGCGTCCCTGGCTCTTTGGTCAATCTGCCCAGGAGAAGTTCTCTTGGGTTTCCTTCTGTACAGTGACTGTGCCCAACACCAGGTCTGTCGCCCTGCTGGTGGCCCCAGGGAGTCCCGGATGGCCCCCGCCGGGCAGCTTAAATTTTTCCTCTGGGGTGGGCAGGTGGAGTGCCCGGGGGATGGTTTCCCGACTCCTCCCCAGGCTGGAGTCCTCGTGGCCGCCTCCCACCCTGACCTGGGGACTCCCCACATCAGACCCTGTCTCAGCGGCTCCTACCCCCAGGGCGGCGGCTGAACTGTGGCCCAGCCTGAGCCGGAATCAGTGCGTGAACGGGCAGGTGCTGGTCCAGCTGCTGTGGGCGCTGAAGGAGCAAAGCGGGCGGGAGCTGGAGGCCTTGGCGGTAGGTGAGGGGCCCACGCAGCCTGGGGCCTCCCCCAGGACCTAGGGGGTGGGAGGGTCTGGCCCCGGGGTGGGGGCGCCAGGGCGGCAGGCCCAGCGCGTTCGTCACGTTCCTCAAGGGTCCGAGGCTTCGTCCAACTCTCCAGCGGCGGAACCTGAGCCGGGCTGCTTGTTCCACAGGCCACTCGGGCCCTTGGGGAGATGCTGGCTGTGTCTGGCTGCGTGGGTGCCACGCGGGGCTTCTACCCACACCTCCTGCTCCTGCTGGTCACGCAGCTACACCAGCTAGCACGGGGCGTGCGCGCCCCTGGCTCCCCGAAGGGGTTGGGCCCCTCGCAGCGAGGGCCGCCGCACAGCCACGCCAGGTGAGGGCCGGCAGCAGAGGGAGGGGGGGCGGGGCCGGTGCCCTCCCGGCCCCTCCGCCCACCCGCTGCCTGCCCCTACCCAGCTGCGCGGTGGAGGCCTTGAAGGCCTTGCTCACCGGGGATGGTGGCCGCATGGTAGTCACGTGCATGGAGCAGGCTGGAGGCTGGAGGAGGCTGGTGGGAGCCCACACCCACCTAGAAGGCGTCCTGCTGCTGGCCAGGTGCTGGAGGGGGCGCTGGGGAAGAGGCGGGGGCAGGAGGCGGGGCCGGCTGGAGGCTTCTCCAGGGGCGGGAGGGGAGACGAGAGAGCACCCCACTTCCCCCCATCCAGTGCCATGGTGGCCCACGCGGACCACCACCTGCGAGGCCTGTTCGCGAACTTGCTGCCGCAGCTGCGCAGCCCCGACGACACGCAGCGCCTCACGGCGATGGCCTTCTTCGCCGGGGTGAGCCTGCTTCCCACCCGGCCGGGGAGGGGCGCCGGCGGCGTGCGGCCGCCCTCGCGCGCGCTGACCGCGTGGCCCCCCACCCCCGGCTCAGCTGCTGCAGAGTCGGCCCACGGCGAGGCTCCTGCGGGAGGAGGTCATCCTGGAGCGGCTCCGGGCCTGGCAGCTCGACCCCGAGCCCACCGTGCGCTGGCTGGGCCTGCTCGGCCTCGGCCACCTGGCGCTGAACCGCGGGAAGGTGAGGGACAGGGCGGGGGACGGCGGACCGGGCGGGGGCCGCGAGGGGCCGCCCACGAGTCGCTGCCCCCGCAGGTGCGGCACGTGAGCAGGCTGCTGCCCGCGCTGCTGGGTGCGCTGGGCGAGGGCGACGCGAGGCTGGTGGAGGCGGCGCTGGGCGCGCTGGGGAGGCTCCTGCTGCAGCCTGGGGCGCCGGTGCGGCTCCTGAGCGCCCAGCTGGGGCCGCGCCTCCCGCGGCTGCTGGACGACGTAAGCCCCGCCCCTCCAGGCCGCGCCCCCACCCCCCTTCCGGCCCATCCCTCCTCCGCCCCAGACCCCCACCCCCGCCAGGCCCGCGGATCACCGTCGGGACCGCAGCCTTCTCCGTCTGCCCTGACCGCGCCCTCCCACGCAGGCCAGGGAGTCGGTCCGCGCCTCGGCCGTGGGGCTTCTCGGGACGCTGGTGCGGCGGGGCCGGGGCGGGCTCCGGGTGGGGCTCCGCGGCCCCCTCCGGAAGCTGGTGCTCCAGAGCGTCGTCCCTCTGCTGTTGCGCCTGCAAGATCCCAGCCGGGAGGCTGCTGAGGTCAGCTGCCCCCCAAGACTGTCCCATTGCTGTCCCCACCCACCCCCACCCGTCCCCACCCTGCGCAGCTCCTCATATTTCTACGAGGACCTCAGGTGCAAGTGTCCAGGGCTCCCGGGTTCCTGGTCATTCCTGGACCACTTGCCCTGGGCTCTTCCACCTCTCATCCTGGCCACACGCCTCCGGCTCCCTCCAGCCACTTTCTGGACCCTAACCCTGCTCCCTTCCCCTGCCCTAGAGTTCAGAGTGGACCCTGGCCCGCTGTGACCAGGCCTTGCGTTGGGGCCTGCTGGAGGACACGGTCACCGTGGCCCACTACGACAGCCCTGAGGCCCTAAGCCGCATCTGCCACTGTCTGGTCAGTAGGGGGAGGACGGTGACAGCGATGGGGTGTGGTCAGCTGCCCACTTGGCCCAGTATGCACCAGGGTACTACCCCCAAAACTCGGTCTCCTCACTCTCCCAGCCAAGGCGGTGGCCGGTCTAAGACCTCTGGCCCTGAGGCCTTGCCCTGGGGGTTCCCCTGGGCCCCGTGGGCTCTGGGCTGACATCTGCCACCTGCTTTCCATGTGGGATGGGTCCTGCGATACTGTCATGACCCTGTCTGCCCCCAGGTTCAGCAGTACCCAAGTCACACCCCCAGCTTCCTGAGCCAGACCCAGGGCTACCTTCGGAGCCCACAGACCCCTTTGCGCTGGGCCGCGGCCGTGCTCCTAGGTGAGTGAGGCAGTCCTGGTGTCTGTCCCTCGCGCTCAGAGCTCTGGGAGCTGGACCAGTCCTTCCCTGATGGGCGCCGGCGGCCAGCGCTCACGGGCATGTCTTGGTCCAGGCTTCCTCGTCCATCACACCAGCCCTGGCCGTGTCAACCAGGACCTGCTGGACTCCCTGTTCCAGGGTGAGGGCCCAGCTCGCTCACCCGCGTGTGGGGTTCTGGAGAGGCTGGGGGCGCTAGGTCGCAGTGGATGGGAACGGACGGGTGGAGGGCCAGGGGCCTGGGATACGTTGTGGTTCTGAGAGCTCTCTGGCCCTGCCTGAGCTGCCCTGTCCCTGCAGACCTGGGACAGCTGCAGAGTGACCCAGAGCCCGCCGTGGTCGCCGCGGCTCATGCGTCCGCCCAACAGGTGGCGCTGCTGGCCCGCGCCCAGGCCCGGCCCCGCCGCCGGAGTCGCCTCCTCCTGCACCTGCATCTCCTCCGCTCAGGCCTCTGGCACCGCCGCTGGTCCCCCCGGCCCCCACCAGTCTACCCCAACAGCCCGTTCCAGCCCCGGAGCGTCATAGGCCGCTGGGGCTGCCTGGGACCCGGCTGCGCCTGAGCCCGAGCCAGCCTGGAGGGTCCCCCGGGGTCGCAGACCAGCAGCGCTCGGCTCCGTGGCCAGTCCTGGCAGGGGCAGGTGTGCAGGAGCGGCTCCCCTTGAGGGCCCCCCACCCTGGGCCCCGGGCCTGGATGCGCACCAACCCTCCCTCTCTAGGGACGCACCGCCATGACAGCCACGCGACCCGGGACCGTGGGGCCTTCCGTCCAAGCACCGTCTTGCCTTCAGCCCCCCTTGCCTCTTGCCCGCGTGGGCCCATCTGTCCCCACTCAGGCCAGCAACCTGAGTGTGCCCCACTCCCCCAACTTGGATGGCACCTGGCACCTAGCTGGGGTCCAATGGGGGACACGGTGACCCTGGCCCAGCCCCGGGAGCTGGTGCCACGAGAGGCCGCCTGTTTGCTGGGTCTTCAGCATGGCCCACTCTGCCTCCCCTGCCTGCCTGGGCTGTCCTCCCCAGTGACCCAAAGTCCCCCATCACATGTCCCACTCCTCGCTGGCCTGTCACCCCCAACTCCTGTGCATCGCGTCAGACCTCACCTGAGCCCTCTCTGGGTTTCCCCTGACTTCCCCACTGGAGGCTGGGGGTGGGCTTCAGGTGTGGGGTGCCACCTCCTGCCCCCTCCAGACTGAGCCTTCAGGTGGCTCCCCAGTGCCCTCCCTGGGCTGGAACGAGGACAGAGTGGCGGCATGTGCTGGGAGGAAGCGGCTCTGGGTCCTGGCGGACCCCTCCGCCCAGAACGCCTATCTTGAGACGTTCTCTTGCCTTTCCGGGCCCACCCCCCAACGCCATGTCCTCAGAGAGGCCTTGGCTCATGCCGCCTCTTGGAGGGCTGGGACCCGTCCCACCACGTCTGGGGACCCCCTTGGGGTCCCGCCTATCCCCTGTGGGAAGTGGTTAAAATAAACACAGGTGGATTACAGGGGTCTGGTATGAGTCTAGGAACCAGGTCTGGGCCAAGGGTGGAGTCCTGATGACCGTGGCCTGGTCCAGGTTCTGGCTCAGGCTGGGATGATAGATAAGGCAGTGAGTATCGAACGAGGAGTGAGGGTCAGCCCGCCGGGGGGTTAGAGTCAGGCTGGTTCAGGGTCCGTGTTTATGGCCAGGGAAGGCACGGGTTCACCTTCTGAGACAAAGAGAAAGCTCCGGAGCTCAGGCAGGAAGGACGTTAGGGTTAGGTCCACGCAGCCCCAGGAGGACCAGTTTGTGTGCCTGTCAGACAGCTGTGCTCTGGTCCCCGCTCCGTCCTCGCGGCCGCAGCGGGACGTCCTCAAGTTCCCCGGGCAAGCTGCTCTGCCGAGTTTGCTTGGGGAGGGCCGGGGGCCCAGCTGCGTGGCCGGTCTTCTCCGGCGGGGCTGGGTCCCAACACCTGGCAGGCCCCTTAGCCCCACGGCAGAACAGCAGCGGGACCGCGGCGCAGCCCTCCCCCCGCCCCCGCCCCCGTGCTCCCTTCCCGGATCTGGGGCCGCCTCAAAACTCCGTGAGCCTCTCTCCCTCGTACACTACATTTATTGACTCTCCCAACGCACGGCCCCGGGACAAACTGGCCACAGGCTGGCTGGGGCTCTCGGCCCCCGGGGGGGCGGGGGTGGCCGGGGTGGCCGGGTGGGCTGGAGCTGTGTCTCACGCCCGTGCCCCTGCAGCTGCCCAGGGGAGCCGGCGAGCGGCTCAGCCCCAGCAGCTGTCCGGGCTCAGCCCCAGCAGCAGCGCCAGGCAGGAGAAGAGCGCGCAGGTGCGGTCCTGGGCCTCTGGCTCCCAGCGCACCTGGGGGGCGTCCGCCTGCACCTCCAGCCCGCATTCCTCCAGCAGTACCCAGGCAGGCGTCTCCGGGCCCCAGCCGCTCCCCAGGAGCTCTGGCGGCAGGGACACGTCCCTACGCTGCCGCCACGGGCTGCTCTGCGCCAAGACGCTCCCCACCTGCTAAGATGGGGAGGGGAAGGTTGTCGTGAGCTGCGCGTGCCCGCCTCCCCCCATCGCTCCTTCCTAGGACACACCCGGCCACCCACATGTGCTCTTACCAGGTCGAACCGCCCAGACAGCTCTCCTGTCTCCAGCATCTTCATGAGCACCGCACGCTGGGTCTCAGTCAGCACTGGGGGGAGACTTCCGTTCAGAGGGGGTTCCAGAAGGCCTGGCTGGACAAGCCCCTACCCCTGCCCCTCCCGGCCCCACCCCTGGAGCCTCTCACCGGCCAGTGCTTCCGCCAGGTAGAGGACAGGGCGTGCCAGCTGCCCTTCCAGCTCCCCGGAGCTGTGCACGAGGCACTCAAGGACGGCGCCCGCTGGACCCTCCAGGGTAGACACCAACCCACAGCACAGGCCCTGTTCCAGCTGGGGACGCGCGGCCGACCGGTGAGTCCGAGCGGCTGGCGCGGGCCCGTCCCGCCGGCCCTCCCGCACCGGGGCTGCTCACCTCGTCCTCCAGAGTTTGCAAGGCCCGCTCTTCCCGCAGCACCTGCGCCAAGCCCGCGAGCAGCTGCCCGCACAGTTCCCGGGACAAGCCCTGCAGGGCCTGGGCCTGGGCCCCCACCTCTGCCTGCAGGTCCTGGAAGTCTCCCGTGAATGCAGGACCGACCTCAGCACACCCGTCTACGGCGAGAGGACTAGGACTGACCTTGCAGAACCGTGGTCAGGAAGGGCAGACTCCCGGGGGGGTGGGGGGGCGGAAAGGGGTGCCCGCCCACGTTCCTGGGGTTGTCGAGCAGGTACTGACCTGACTGTAACTTTAAGCCTCCGGAGAGCTGGTGGTCGCTTGTGGGGCTTTCAAAAACCAGCTGGCGGTCTGGGTGGGGCAGGGCAAGTCAGGCCCGGGAGCAGGACCCTTGGCCACACTGTCCATCACCACCACCCAACTCTGGCAGCCCAGGCCACACTGTCCATCACCACCACCCAACTCTGGCAGCCCAGGCCAGGAGTGAGGCTGGGGCGAGGCTGGTGTTGTTGCAGTAGAGCACCCCTGCCCCCGGCGCGCGTGTGTTTCCTCGGGCACCCGGGACCCCGGCCGGGGCCTGCTGGCCGAGCTGGGCTGCGCAGAAGGCCCCGGGCTGGGCGGGATGTGCCCACCTCACCTTCGTTGGGTGGCCTGAAAGTCTTCTGCCTCTTGCCCTTCTTGTCCCAGTAGAGGAGGACATCTGTAGCCCGGTGGGAGCAGAGATCGGGGGCAGGTCGCCCAGTGACCCCAGCCTCTGCCTCACCCCCGGGGGCTACCCTGCCCCCTCCTAGGCCCGACCACGGCTCCTAGGCCGCCCGGGAAGCTGGGCCTCCTCGCCTCTCTGCCAGGGCCGCAGGAGGCACCCCAGTCTCACCCCAATCCCAGCTCACCCCAGTCAGGGTCAATGAGCAGCTGGGCCACTTGGAAGGCCAGGACGCTGCCCGCGGGGATGCTGACCTTCTTCTTCCGGCTCCGGCGGTCCTGGCCTTGGCCCTGAGGGGCGGAGAGGGGCTCGGGACTGGGCTCTGGGTCATGGGCTGAGTAGGCTGGGTGCTGGTGGTTGGGGTCTGCCTGGGGACAGGCTGGCCTCCCCGACCCATGCCCAGTTCATGGCCCACGCCGCACACCTGGAAAGATAAGGCTCCAAGCAGCGCAAATTGCCCGGAGCCCTCGTGCTTCTGGGTCTGGCTGACCGTCACCTCCTCCTGCGTCTGCAGCACCTCTGTCACCACAAACACGTCGCTCTTGCAGTTGCGCAGCTGCCGCAGGACCATGTGCTCGGGCCGTCGCAGGCGCCTGTGGCAGGTGGTTGACCTGGAGGCGGGGGTGGGGGTGGGGTCCTGCCCTCCCCTGCTGTGGGCCACGCTGCTGGGGGGCTGCTGCGGCCCAGGAGCCCAGGAGCTCCGGGGGGCCTAGGCCCGGGATTCCTATCATTCCCTCCCTGTGGGCTCCCAACAGTGTTCCTGGGGGGTGGGCCGTGGTGGGGGGAGGCCCAAGACCCAGGAGTGCTCCGTGGACACCGGCAGACCCTGGAGATACCCACCCCCTCGGCCGCTGCTTATCTAGCGGCTCCTCCTCCCATTCGCTGCCCCTCCCTGGATTGAAATTTCAAAGCTCTACCCTGAACTACTGTTCCTCGTCACCCCGTCCCCGTGTCGGCTCTGCCGGGCCACGCCGGCCCTCAGGATGCCGTCGCCCATCACCTGGGCGGCCTCCTCCCCTTCTGCCGGACTTGGCGTGCCCCTGGGGCCTGTACTCCCACCACCCCGGCCACCGTGCTGACCCTTGGCCTTTCACGGCCACCTGGTGACTCCTGATGCCCCGGGCTGGTGACCCGGGGACTGCTTGGGGGCTCACCTCTCTCGCTTCATGGCGTCCCAGACGTTGGGGTCCACTTGCCGTGTGCACACTTTCATTGAGATCCTGAGGTACTCGGACACCGACGCCTTGACCGCGAGCCTCCCCTGTCCTGCGGCTTCCAGCTCCCCGCCGCCCAGTGCCTCCCCGTCCGTGCAGTCGAAGACGTGGATGGGCGTGCTTTCTTTCACATCTAGAGCCAGACCAGAGCTGAGGCCCCGTCCCCCCGTCGGCCACCGGCCCCGCCCGCGCAGAGGGTTGAAAAGTCCCTGTCGTTTGAAGGCAGAAAGCCCAGAGGCGTGGAGCGGGCAGCCGGCCGCCATCCCTCCCCTCCCAGCGGACGGGGTACCTGGCTCTGGGGCACCAGGTTCCAGAATGTCCCTGATGGACAGGTTGATGCTCGTGTAGCGGGCTTTCTGGAACCAGGACATTGGGAACTTCCTGCGCAACAAGCAGTAGGGCTGGAAGCCGGCGGAGCTCTGCAGGCTGTCCACGGGGGTCAGCTTGCCGCCGTGGTCCAGCTCCCGGACCACCCTCTTGATCACGCCCTCGAAGGTAGATGCCATGGCTCCTGAGGAGGACAGATGGGCCAGCCGTGTTGCCCTCAGCGCCAGAAGAGTGGGAGATGGGGGCACCAGTCGCTGCTTGGATGCCTCCACGGGCAGAACGCTCCACTCCCGCTCACCGCTCAGTGTCTGCCCCGTCACCCCTCGCAGCCTCGCTGGGGGCTGGTGGGCGCCTCTAGGCTGGGATGGGGTTCACAGCCCTCTGTGGGGCTCAGGCCACCCGCGTCTTCCGTACTGTGGCCAGAGTGCCCACAGGAAGCCCCGGAGAGCCCGGGACTCTTCGTGCTTGCTGGGCAGGGGGGCAGGGGAGGGCAGAGGTCTCAGGGTGCCCCCCAGCCCCACGCTCTCGCTGCTGCACCGGCCATCTCCCTGGGTGAGGCGTTCAGAAGGCAGGAGAAACAGCAGGGACCACCAAGCTTCTGGGGACTGGGCAAGGGGCCCACAGCAAGGTTCTGTCCCAGCGTCCCCAGCTTCCAGGAATGCCCTCTAAGGCTCTTCCTGTGCCCAGAGTTCCATGAGCCCCCAACCCGAGGCTGAGGCTTCAGGGACCAGAGCCCAAAGCAGGCCTGACCCAGGATACAGGAGGCCTGGGCCCAGGCAGAACAGCCAGCCTTTCCCAACCACTCCCGCCAGCCGGAGACCTTTGAGCCTTGGTGCTGGTCTGGATTCGGAGTGGGCCACGGGGTACCTGGAAGGCCGCCCCCTGCAGTCGAACCCAAACCCAGACGGGCTTCCCAGAGGCCTCGGGCTTCCCTAAGCTGGTCTGGGAGGGTGCTGGGACCACGTGGTCCCCCAAAAGGGGCCAGCATCGCCCCCACTCAGCGTGAGCTCCCCCTCACCAGGCAGTGGGGATCGGCACTGGGTGTGGGCTTCAGCTCACTGCGACGGTCACCCCAGGTTCCGGGCCCACGACGGGAAGCAAGTCCGCCCTGCAGTCCCGAGCTGGGAAGTGTCCAGGAAAGTGCACGGCTGCAGGAGCCCAGATCCAAAAGTGAAACTTGAGTCTAGTGACGTGACCGGCTGGCCCTCCCAGAAACGCCCCAGCCAGTGCACCCCGTGGGGCCCCACCAGCGGCCCCAGTGCCCTCGCCTCCCCCTCCAGCAGGAGGTACTTCCTGCGGCTTCCTTCTTACATCTGAAGGAGCAGACGGCCGGCAAGTGCCGCGGACATGTTTGCATCCACACCCAGATGGGAGCCGCCAGCCCGGCCACGCCATGAGGCCACTCCACACCCGCCGGCCGCTGTCACAGACCCCATAGTGCGGGGGGTGGGGGGCGGGGGCAGAGGGACCGGGGCCCCCGCAGGGGCCACAGACAACCACACTCAGCCTCGCCCTCTCCTCTCCTACGTGGGTTCAACAGAAATGAGAGCGTCTGTTCACGCACAAGCCTGCCGCGAAACACCAAAACGTAGAAACAACGCAGAGGTGCATCCGCTGAGGAAAGGGCACGGGACCTCCGTCCAGGGGAAGACCCAGGAGGGAAGGAAGGACATGCTGATGGCCCATGACACGGATGAGCCTCAAACACAGGCACAAGCTCTAGAGACAGAGTAGATGAGAGGTCACCAGGTTGGGGGGTCGGGGAGTGACGGCTGACACGTACACGGTTTCTTTCTTTCTTTCTTTTTTTTTTTTTTTTTAAGATTTTATTTATTTATTTGACAGAGATCACAAGTAGGCAGAGAGGCAGGCAGAGAGAGAGGAGGAAGCAGGCTCCCTGCCGAGGAGAGAGCCCCCATGCGGGGCTCGATCCCAGGACCCTGAGATCATGACCTGAGCTGAAGGCAGAGGCTTAACCCACGGAGCCCCCCAGGCGCCCCAGGTACGCGGTTTCTTTCGAGGCGACAAATGTGCTGCTGTCAGTGGTCCTGCTGGTTTCCTGACTCTGTATAGGCTGAAGCCCACGGAGTTCTCCCCTTTACATGGGGACGTGTATGGCATGTGCGCTTCGTCGGTAAAGCTGTCATGGGAAAGTCTGGACTCAGGTTTGAGCCGGCAGGTGAGTCAGCAGCTCCTCGGTGATCCTGCTGTGTGAGCTGAGCTGAATCACGGCCCGTGCAGGACGGCGCGAGCCGCACAGGCTTCCTTCTCCGCCTCCTCCAGCACCACTTCCCGCCCCGCTGCTACCCTGTGACACCCTGGAGGCCTCGCCGGGGTCCCTCGCGGTGGCCGAGACTCCCTGGGGGCTCAGCACGTTTGTTCACTCGGTGGGTGGGCACGCGGACCCATAGCCATCCCGGGGCAGGGCGTCCGAGGCCCCGAGGCAGCTCCACTCCCCACGCCCGGGGCTCGGGGGCAGGGACCTCCCGCTCCGCTTGCTGTGCAGCCCCCGGCTCCAGTCCAGCCGCCCGCGCCGCTGGCTGGCGTGAAAAGCGCGTCCTTGCTGGTGGGGAGGCTCCGAGAGCCCGAGGAGGGCTAGGAGCGTGTGCGTGTGTGTAGTGCGCACACGCATGCCGGTGTTCACATGCGTTCGTGTTCACACGTGTCCGTTGCATGTGCTGCTTATGCATGCACACGTGTGTGTCTTTAAGAAAGATTTTATTTATTTGAGAGAATGAGAGCGCGTGAGCATGAGAGGGGAGGTCAGAGGGAGCAGCAGAGCCCAATGGAGCTGGGAGCCTGACGCAGGAATCGATCCCAGGACTCCAGGATCCCGACCCGGGCTGCAGGCAGTCGCTCAGCCAACTGAGCCCCCCAGGTGCCCCACGTGTGTGCTTGTGCACGTGTTGCGTCTGTACACGCTTGTATGTGTTGTGCGCGATCTCGGGTTGGGGGCCGCAAGCCTACGCTGCACCCGGGGTTGCAGGTACCAGAAGGTTGTCCTGCCTGGTCCCTGCCTGGTCCCTGCACGCAGCCGCCTCTGGGGGACCGGGTCTCAGGCAGGGGTGCCAGGCAGGAGCCATCGGCGGGCAGGAGGGGCAGCACCTAGGCCACGTGGGCCACAGTGACCACGGAGGGTGGCCCGCGGTTCCCGCCTGCCTTGAGGCCGTTGCCTGGGGCTGCGACACCTCGGGCTGGGTGTGGGGGTGCGGTGGGGCGGGGGAGTCTGCTGCAGTTCCATGGCCCCGTTTCCAGTTTTCCAGCAGTAAGCAGAGTGAGAGGGACTTGCCAAGCCCAGCGCCTATCGCCCGGACGCCTGGACTCCTGACTCTTGACAGAGGTCAGCCTGACAGGACAGGAGTGAGCCTGCTGGGAAGAGGAGCTGGAGAGAAGGTGGGAGGTGCTGGCCCTCCGCCCTGTCCCCTCCCTGGTTCCCTTTCAAAGAGCAAAGGGGGCCACCAGGACGTTCTGAGGGCCAGGAGCTCTGGGGCGACCCTCTGTCCACCTCGAGCCCACCCTGTGTTATTCTGAGGCGGGTGGGGCTGCCCTGGGGGTCCACAGCCAGGGAGGACACACGTCTCTGAAGGCAAGCTGTGACCCCAGACTGAGGACCAGGGAGGGCATTTCCGTCTGGGCGCCCTGAAGTGGAGGAAACTTGCTGCACCCAGGGACTCTGCCTCCATCCGCCAGCTGGCAGGGGCTGGCAGGGGCTGGCGCAGGGCAGGTGGTGGCCGTCAGTGCAGACACTGCCATGCGGGTGCCCAGTCCCGGGCAAACACACAGGCCATTAAGATCCCAAAGATAACCCAGAGAGCTCTGGAGGGAGCCGCCCCATCACAGAGGAGATGGGACAGTGGCCTGAGGTAGCTGCATTCCAGGCTTGGAGGTGGTGGGCACCAGGGCAGGTGCCAGGGGCCCCAGGTTCTGCTGGGTCCGCGACAGGCAACCGTGCAGCCCATCACCCCCCAACCCCGTCCCATAAGGGGGAAGCAGCCCAGGACCAGCTCCACCCAGTGCTGACTCTGGCTCAGAGAGTCTGAGGGTCATGCTTTTGAGTGAGGGTTGGGTGTGGGGTACGATACCGCGGTGAAGCAGGCTCCCCGGGGTCCCGGAGGGCGGCTGTCTTCTGCAGTAATTTCCTGCTCCCTTCCCTCTGGGATGAAAGGCGAGGGGGCACCGGTGGTGGAGTGGTCCCAGCCCGCCAACCACCTGTTCCCACCTGAGGACTCCCAAGGGCATGCTTATCTAGAGGGAAGGAGTGGGCAGGGGCGTCCCCAAGGGGTGCGTGTGCAGGCTGGGTGGGCGGGAGGAGGAGGCAGATAAGGCAGGATGGACTAGAGATTTTGGGCAAATTCTGTGATTAAAGTGTGCTTGATATCTCATTCCCTTTAGACACGTGCTGCGGCCCGGTGGGGGGAGGTTAGGAGGGGCGCTCGCTGGCTTCAAGCTGGGAGTCAAGGCGGAAGTGGCCGCAGTGGGAAGAGCTCCGGAAGGAAACAGCCCGCCTGGGCTGCAGGGCGGAGAAAATCCGCCAAAGGAAAAGGGGAAGCTGTGTGTGGGAGAAGTTGGTGGTCACCAGGCGTTGGGGAGAACACAGCCCTGCGTGTACAGAGAAGTCCTCCTAATGGACTCCGGCACCTGCGCAGCCCCCTGGGAAGGAGCCCCTTGGGTTGGGGGGCCAAGGACCGGTGGAGGAAGGCTGCCTGGAGTGTGGGTAATCAGCAAGACCCAAGGAGTGTGGGGGACATGGCCAGCCAGCAGGCAGCTCAGGATGTGCCAGACGGGGAGGACCAGAGATGAGGTCTGGAAGATGCAAGTGACCTGGAAGACGGCTGTTGCGGGAACAGAGTGTGCTGAGTCTTGACAGGGGGGCGGGGCCGGGCTCACCGTGAAGGGCTATAAACAGGCCAAGGGTTTCTGCTGGTGTTCATAAGGAACGGGTCATTTGAGGGGAGTTCCTAAAAATGAAACTACTCAAAAAAGTACTCAGGGTCTTGGCACACATTGCAAATTCCCCTTCAGAAAAGGCTCTGCCGATGTCCGGAGTTAAGTGGTGTGAGCTTCCGCGTCCCTCCCCGGGGCAGACACTGAAGGCAGGTTGTTCCCGTGTCGCCCATCTGAGGGGCGTCAGGGAGGTGTGACTGTGCCTGCTAAGACCAGTATGAGTAAGTCGGCTGTAACTGATCTCCAAACCGCGCATCCTCTCTGCCACCCCAGGTCTGGACAGAACAGGCTCAGGGATAGACCACGAGTCTCAGTGTGTGAGGGGAAAAAAGTACCCCAAACCTCAGCGGTGTAAACAACATCTGTTCCTCACTCATAAATGTGTGAGTCGTCCTAAATTATGCCATCTGGGCTGGAGACAGCTGAAGCGGGTCCTCTCTGCCTCAGGGGGTGCTGCCTGGGTTCACGGCTTTGGAGCTGGCTGGCTGATGGCTGTCGGGCGCCCAGTGGTGTTACTGGACACGTGCTGCCCACCCTGACTCGTTCGCAAGCCGGTGGCCGTCTGAGCCTCCAGAGAAGGAACACAGGGCAGGCCCACAGGAGAGCTTTTCAAGATCCCTCACGGGAAATTCCGTCTCAGCTGTTCTGAGAATCCCCTCCCCTGCCCTGAGTTCTGCCAAGGCCAAAGGCTCCTATGCCAGTCCTGTAAGTCATTCGGAGCCCGTCCACACACCTGCCCCCTAGGGTGCCTCAGGCTGCTTGTGGCTTGGGGGGGGGGGCATGGACCCTGTAGTTAGGGTTCAGCCAGGACAGTGCAGTAGCCTATGGGGAGGTACGGCAGAGGATGGACGGGACCGAAAGGATACAGGAAGCAAAGATGGCTCCAGATAGACTTCGCCTCTCCGCAGAGACACGTGGGTCGGGAGGGTGCCTGGCGCTGACCCGAGAGGCGGCCCCTGGGCGGGCCTGCAGCCGTCCCTGCTGGCCGTGTTGCACTCGCAAACGCGGCAGGAACGATGAGTTTCCACGGAGACCTTCACGGACCTGTGTCACGCCGGCGCAGGGCTAATGTCCGCCATGGTGCCCGCCGCGGGTGCGATCGA